ATTTAATAACAAATAAATAAAAAAATAAATAAATAAATAAATAAATAAATAAACCCACTTTTCCCAGAGTTTCGTTCAATTGTTTTCTTTTTTTTCCCTGTTATAATATTTTATTGACATTTTTAAAGATACATATTTAAAAGTTAGAAATAGAAAAGAAAATTTTGAAATACAAAATATAAAGAAGAGGAAAGAAAAAAAGTGAAGCCAAGTATGAAAAATAGATAGCTTCCAATCTTAAAAATCTTCTTAAAAATAAAAAGGCTATCCTAAGTGCTAGTTTTTAATACATTAAATAAGAGTAATTCTTTGTCAAAACATATCCCATTCCATTTATAATCTAATCTTCAAATCCCCATGTAAGCTTCACCCCACCTGCATTGTGCAAATAATCCATCGATGGTTTCCATTCTTTAAGGTAATAATTATCCGAGTTTTCTTTTAATAAGCAAGTCCGTTTGTAATTTTCTGCCATGTCCATCAATTTGTTCAGTTGTTTTCATTGTTCCTTTGTGTTCATTTTGGTGTTTGGATTTTTAGGTGAAGTGTGTACATTAAGATTACACTAAAGGGAGGCGTGAGGGCAAAACGTTTAGGAAGCCCAGCTCTAGAACGCGTAGCCAAAATGATCATGCACGTATCTCAAAGGAGAAGAAGAAGATTTTGAATCAGGAAATAGAATCTAGATTAGAATGTGTAAGAACAATCCCTGATGAGCAGGACCAGACCAGACCAGGTCATGATCATTGTGTACTTGCAAAAAATGGCATTCCAGGAGGGAACTTTTGCAGAGAGCTTTAACTTCTTCTAAGAAGTGATACTCTGGGACTCATGGACACACGTGTGCACACGCACACATGCACACAGACACACCATTCAGAGAATGAGGTCTTAGCCATCAGAATCCCACTTCCTTCAAAAATGCCTTTTAAATAACACCCAAATTCACCTCGAAAGAAACTCAGGGCCAATATAAAGATGTGGGGAATCTTTTTGGAGAAATGGCATTAATCTACTTCCCACAGTAATCTCAAGGCTTGTACAAATGGGAAGTATCTCTTTTTTTTCCAAGTAATTTTATTAAAGTTTATAATTGCAATCGTCCCCCAATGTATCTCAACGTTTGTATGTGTGCTTTTATTTGTATTCATTTTTAAATATTATACCCCACTCTGAACTAACTGAAGGTTAGGGTAGCTAAGGATGCATTTCACAACCATCCAATCTTATGGCACTTATGCATAATTGTACTCACCAACCATAAAAAGGCAGCAAAGGATGCTCAGAGATTCTGGCATTATTCCAAACAGATCCTTCTTCGTGGGTAAATATATGCATTCACTCCAGAAAAGCAAACACAGGAATAAATGTGTTTTATTGTCAGTAATAATGATCTTTTAGTTTCCCTGTTGGGTTTAAATCTGGCAAAATGCCTCCGATGCAAATGTTTGGAGCAGACTGATCCTTCGACTGATTGCATGAGCTTCAAGCAGGAGGACGGCAGGAAAGCAGTCATCCATAAAAATGGTAAGAATGATATTTTACTCTGCTCATAGAAAGCAATCTCACTCATCACTCCAACGCCATTCTCTCTTTCTCTGTCTTCACCTTTGCTACAGATGTTTAAATCTCGACACAGAAGCCATTAACATTGATCCGATCCAGTCGGTGATTTTACTGGTAGATACTAAGAAAGGATTTATTTGGATAGACTGATAATAATGTTTATTAACTATCTAGCTGAGTGTTGTCCAAACTTGGCCACTTTAAGATGAG